GCAACGGGAGCTCACCCCGTCACGGGGATTTGAACTGCCAACCTTCTGATTGGCAAGTCCTAGGCTCTGTGGTTTAACCCATTAGGAACAGTAGGAGAAGCTATTGTCCCCATGTCCTATTTTGTGGGCATCTAGAGACATCAGGTTGGCTGGTGTCTGGAACCTGGGCTGGGTAGGTGTTTGATCTGATGTGGATGACTTCTTTTTCTTGCTCATGGGGGTTTGAGAGGGGTGAGGGTACTGGCATTGAAGATCCTTTCTGCTTTCCCTCTCTCTTCTCTCCCCCCACCCCTACTTTGGGCAGCCTGTGTTTTGCCATCTGCAGTCACTCGTGCTCTGCTAACATGCTGCTGCTGCTGAGTTGCATAACCAGGCTGTGCCCTCGGGGGAAATCCCTCCTGCACATCGCTTCAGAATGGTAAAATGCAAACGTAATAAGCACTGCGAGGGCACAGACCTGCCCTGTAGCTGTTTATTCTAAGGCCCAGCTGCCTCTTCCACCCACCCTGGGCCAGAGTTGGTAGCGTCTCCATCCAAAGCGCAGCTGCACTGAAGAAGAGGCTGCCCTGTTATGTAAGGGGCAGGGACGTGCCACTCTGCATATCCCCCTTGCTCGCTTCTGAGCAAAGTGCCAGCCATGTGCTCTTAGAAATGGGTGTCGTGTTCCTTGATGGGCACTGATTTCCCGCTGCTGTCATTGGTGCTGTTGGCTTCTCATCCTGACTGAATACCTTGGAGAACAGAGACGCAGGAAGCTGACTTATAGCGAGTCAGACCATTGGTGCATCTAGCTCAGTTTTTGTCTACACTGACTGTCAGGATTTCAGGCAGGAATTTCTCCCAATCCTTCCTGGAGAGGCAGGAGATCGAACCAGCAACCTTCTGCTTGCAAGGCCGATGCTCTCCCACTGAGCTATGGCAGCTGAGGCCAGATTTCTGCAGGCGCTGGAGTTTGCTTGTTGCAGTGCTCTTAAAGTAATCATTTAGCCTGGGCCACAAGCCTATGGAGCTGCCTTATACCAGACAATTCAGTCCATTAGCCCATTCATTCTTCCTTGTGTGTGAGAGGTTTGACGGCGGGTACATGTCCAATACCTGCCCTACTTACTGAAATGTTTTTCATGGAAGATGCCTGGATTTGAACCTGGGACTTTAATTGCATATTGGTCTTGTCCTTAATTGTTGAGTCATAGGCCCCTCCTCTCGCATGATTCATTTGCGTTCAAGGGTTGATGTGAGCTGAAAGTCACCAACCTTTGGCTCAGTCAGGGCATGCTTGTCTCTCATGCTTGTCCTGGGATAAGTAAATAATGTAAACACTCCCCACCCCCACCCCGGTCTTATCCCTGCAGCACAATTCCTCAGAGATTCACAGTGAACTGGAACAGGCAGCCAGGAGGAGTGGTTGGAACACACCCTACAATTCCTTGTTAATGTAAAATGGGGAGGCTGTCCTAACTATGACAGAAACAGAGGCTTGCTTGTTCACATGAGCTCCTGCTAAATCACAAGTGAATGATTTCAGAACTGAAGGCAAGAACTGTTGTGCCCAACCAGCAGAAGATGGAGGTCTGCTGGGCTAAAACGCCTCTCTGTATAGTCATACCTTGGGTTGAAGTCGCTTCAGGTTAAGCCTTTTCGGGTTGCGCTCCACAGCGACTCGGAAGTAACGGAGCACGCATGCACAGATGCTCAAAATAACGTCATGCGCAGAAGCGGCGAATCGCGACACGTGCAAACGCACAGTTGTGGGTTGCTGTTGCTTCAGGATGCGAATGGGGCTCCTGAATGGATCCCATTTGCATCCTGAGGTACCACTGTATCTGCAGTAGGGTTCTTTCCCCCAGCTCAAGCTGAAGTGGGAAACACACAGAGATCTCAAAGCTGTGCATTCACCAGAGCTACTGCTCTGTAATGCCTTTTCTCTTGCTGGTGGTGGTTGAATTCACCTAGACTGTTGCCCTCTTGTTTGCTCTGCAAAAAGTGTTTTTGGACACAAAGGAGTGTCTGCCTGTCACCTGTGCCCACTTGTATATTAGGCAGGACTGATCCTTGGTGTGGCCTTCCTTCTCACAGGGTCAGGGCTAGTGACTAAGCCTTTTCCTTCCATTGGCAAGATCAGAACCATTAATCTTGCAAAGGCTTACATAAGACTTATTGCCATGATCTAACTTGATGGTTGTCCTGTTCACTCCTGCGAATTGCAAGGGTTCAGGTAGACCATTGAGGGGCTGTGGGTGCACACACAAACATATTGATGGGATTTAGGTAATGGGGTGTTTTTCTCCCCGGCCCACTGATTTGTAAGCATAGTCTGTGTGTGTTTGTGGAATACAGCAAACATACCAGTTTTGGATTATTTCAGTATTTGGAGTTCCATAAAATTCAGAATTTCTAGGCAAGGATCTGAGGTGACGAAAGAGATGAATAGGATTAGGAAGAGTCAAAACTTTAGTTTTTGTAAGGGGGCCTGTGATGTTTGCAGGAGTGAGATACATTTGCAGTGACACCAAGTGCACAGCCATGTACGTAGAAACCCTCAAACGATACGTCAGAATCAGAGCTTTCGAAATGACAGCGCATTCCACAGGGTCTGATAGGTCAGGCAGCATCTTAAGCCGAAATTTACCTGCCTTTCTGCGTCAGCTGATTTTGTCAAATAGGTTGCCCTGTCTGTTTAAACGTTGCTCTAATTGCAGCAGCCTCACCTGAACCCTCCTCTCTTAAGGGGCCAATTTTAACTGTATCTAAGCTCCGTTTATGAAGCACCTTTGCCAAATCCAACAAGAAAATTAGAGCCTGGGAAAATGCATTGCCAATTATCGCATACCCTTTAGCCATTATTTTCTGCTTGCAGCTTCCTCCAACTAATTGGGCTTTCCACTGGAGGGTTTGTCACAAGAAACTTGGTTGCTGAGTTTGGATGCTGAAGCGAAAACCAGCCTAAACCTTATTCCCAGGTGCATTTTGTCAGAGAGGTATGAGGCAGGTTGCCTGAGTTATGAGCCCAATAATTGGCTTAATGCCTCTTTACGCTCCCAGCCAGGCTAACTTGAGGTCTGTGCAGCGGCGGCAAAGCTTGTCTTGTTCTGCTAATTCAGTACAGAAAGCAACACCTGGAAGCTCTGTGGCTTTTAGAACTATTAAGCTGCAGGGCTGTGAAACAGAAAATCTGACCATGCTCATCAGTTAATTCTCACCATTGGGAGCTAAGGGCTAAGTGACTTAGATGTGATGTCATTCATGTTATATTTAGCATTTATAAAGGGCTTTGTGTACAGAAGACCGAAAATACATTCTAGCAACCCCTACAATACCCCTGTAAAGGGACTGATGAAATCATGATGTTACTTTAAGAGTGAGCTTTGCATTGGAAAAAACTCTCCTTCACTTTTACAACACACCAGTTCTGGCTGGGGATATTTTGCTGGGGATAAACTTGTGCTATCTAGATGGAGATAGGTGCTTTAACCCTTCCTGCCCCCGCTGCAGTCCTGATCCTGGTGAACTTTGGGACATACTTGCTTACTTTCAAAAAACTACAAATCGCATGAATGTTGTGTGGTCCAGTTTGACATTATGACTCCTCTGCTGGTCCCAGCCTCTTTCGGTGCCTCTGTTTAGAAGTGACCGTGTAATAAGATTCTTAGCAAAAAGATGGTGACACAAAATGGGGAAGAAAATGCAATTCACAGGGAAGAGGAGATCAAGGCCGAGGTAGTGCAGCTGCCCGTAAGCCCAGGCCACAAGATGCTTGAGCAGATGAAACCAGAACTGAAACACTGTGTGTGCATTGGAAGAAGCCAAAATTAGCAGTTAGTTGGGGGACTAGCTCTTGAACTGAGCATGTAAAGCATCGTGTAATAGCCAATTGACAGCGGTGTTGGCGCAGCTTGTGTCTCCTGCCATTTAAGGTGGAGGTGAGCTGGAACGGTGCAGGCGGTTTCATTGTGTGGAGGACAGGACATATAGCAACTATATAGAGACTCTTGATCTAGCCTTTGGATGAAGCCAGTGCTCTGAACTTCTTCAGTGCATTGCAGCAGTCAGCCAGCTTCCCCTCCACCGTCTGCAGTGTAGAGGAGTTAGTGTTTGGCCGGGAAATCTACAAATGCTTGCTTTCGGCACTCAGGGGAGAGAGATGCTGCCGCCTCCACCACCACCATTACAACTTCGATGAAACACTATAATTACGCACAGACCTCGGAGAGCCGCAGCGGAGAAGTTACAGGATAAACTGCAGAGCAAAACACTCAGCCAGCTTTGCAAATGAGTCTGGTGACGCTGGTAGAATGCTGATACACTCGGCCAGAAGCTTGTCCCTCTAATCTCCAAGGTCCTGGGGGGATCTCTTTGCTGTTTCACTGGAACCATTGCCCAGCCCAGGTGCAGCAGTCAACACCAGGGAGGTCCTGACTGCCTTTGGGGCCCTTGTTTTAGGGCTAAAAGGCGGTTTGCGTATATTTTAATTTAAAAAGATCTTCAGGTGGAATCTCTGAACAAAAGTCAAGGACATCCCTGCCTTGTTAGAGGTGGAAGTGCCTCATTGGTTTCTTCTGATCAACCACAGTTGCTGCTGGCATCTAACTGGAAGACTGTATTCCTTGAGGAAGGAGATAAGACCCCCAAAAATTGTTTAAACAAGCCTACCCAGATGTTTAAAACATTGATGCGTGTTTAAATCTGTTTTTAATCTATTGTTATTTTAACTTTTGGATAGGCTTAAATTATTGTTGCTAACTTTTCTCGTTGATAATTTCCATGTTTTATCTTTTTTGTAAACTGCTTTGAGGATATGTTTTTACAGTGAGGCAGTGTGTACATATGATGAAATGAATCATAAAATCGATGGGCTTGGTATGCCCATTCTTCTCTGCCAAGGCTGGTTGTTTGTGGCCAAAGGAATGGAAAGGGTTTGGAGGCCAGCAAATGTAACCAGTATTTGTTTGACCAGAGTTGTCATAATTAATTTTCTTTTCTCTTTCTTGATTTCTTACCAGGGACCTACAATCTCCACGACTTACATGCATAGAGGAAAACTGAGGAGGCTCCAGGCCGATCACCGGGATCTCTGGCGACGTTAAGCATCGATATTCTTCTTAAAAGTCACATGAGACACCTAAGAGGAGCAGGAGCTGTTGTAACCCATTTCATTATTGAGACTCTTAAAAGTTTATCAAATTTATGTTCCCTCCTTCCTCTCCCCTTGTTCCCTTTCCCCTTCCCATCCCTTCTGCTCACTCAGCTTTGCTGACCAACTAAATCTGTGCACATACTTCTGGAGAATTCCTTTTTTACCTAAACAAAATACGGGGTTGGGATATGCAAAACAGTTTTTTCTACTGCTGCTAAACACCAGAACTCTGGGTCCAAGATCTGTTTTCCTTAGTGTTTGTTTTTAGCTGGAAGAGATTCAGAAGGGATGTTGGGATGCCTAGAGCTGAACGCAAGTTGTCAACTCTAGAGGTTGCTGCTGATTTGGGGAACAAAAGGCAAGCTGGGATAAACCTTTCTCCTTCTCCCTTTCCTAAAAGTGCTCTTCACCAGTGGAACTTGGCAATAAGAAGTCATGATTACAAGAATAAACTCTTTCCTTTTTTACGTGGCCACAGGACTACAAGCAGTGTGGTGCCTGAGAAACACCTGCAGTTTTGCATGCCAAATTTCACAGGTCAAGAACATAGTAGTATTTGGGGGGGGGTGAAGAGAGCCCACACATGGGCAGGTGTTTTTTCTGCCCTTGAAAAGTCCACCAATGGGTTTGGTGGCTTGCTTGGCTACTTAAATGACCGTGAGAGCCTGGACACATCAAACTGATCCCTTAACTTTGGGCTCATTTTGGCTACTTTGGCTTGGTCGATCTTGCCCAGAACTGCCTTGGTGTAAAGAGAGTGTGTATTAAGCATAGCCCAGCTTGCCCTTGGGGCTTGTTTGTGCGAGCAAATACCTGTACATAAACCCACTCAAACTCACACTTAATACCCTCCTGCAGTCCTCTGGTTTGAAACACTCTTAACTCTTCCAAATATCCCATTTCCTAGCTGGCATTCCAGCAATTGTTCTTTAGCTGATCTCTTCCAGCGATGAGCGGGCCTTTACACTAAACTTACCAGCTGCGCAGAGGGAGGTTCTAATCCTGTCCATCTCTTCTTCCGTCGGTCTTGATTGGCAATGGTGCTACTACTTTGGGGATGAGGCTGTTTCTTCCAGGCGCTGTCCAGACCCATGGAAGTGAAGGGAGCGGCTTTGCCAAGCCAGCGCAATTCGGTTAACACTTGTTGGCAGTCCACTTGCTGGGTTGCCCGCATACCTCCACACTACTACTGAGGCTGGTGGCTGTGGCCGTGGCCAGGACTGGTGAGACTCTGGAGGGGATGCTGTGCTGTTTACTCTGCAGCTCTTGGAAGGCCAGGAAAGAAGTCTCTGCTCTGCGTCCTGCCTTGCTCTTTGCATTCCCTTTCTTTCTGGGATGTGGGCAGCCACAACCAGGACAAAAATCAACCAGATTCTTCCCTGGATTTGTGGCTGAGAAGGCTTGCCTGCTTATTTCAAGGCCTACCATTTGCAAGTCCTGGTCTCAACTGGATTTCCTAACGCTGGGGATCAATTTGTGCTGAACTTCCTTGGCGCACTACCCAGAAAAACCCTCATTTAATTAACTGTCAAGAAATCTCGGTGTAGGCTATAGACTTTTTGCTCTTGATCTAAGCCACAACCTCTCTGTCTGTCTCTCTCTCTCTGTCTCTTGTCCCTTCAGTGATTCCCTTAAAGTGAAAATGATTCACCTTGGCTGGCCCAGAACAGGGTTGAGGAACCTTTGGCCCTCCAGAGATTGTTGCAATTCCTATAATCCCTGACCACTGGCCATGCCACTTGGGGCTAATCTACCAGTTTCCTTGCTGCTGAACTAGAAGGCTCCAGGTGATGCACAGGTCTTGCTCCTCCTAACCAGGAATATATTTCAACCAGTTAGAACAAAGCAACTTGAAGTAGGTGAGTCAACCATAGAACAGCCAGAGTCTCATAACGGCATTCTCTGGCTCAGCAATTCGCCCTCTGTTGCTGTTCCACACAACCGTGCTCATGGCCAGAACAGCAAGATGTCTTGATGAGGAGAAACAGTCTGTCGAGAAGATTCACCAAGGGTTGCTTTGAGTTTGCAACTCGGCTAGCTGGCAAGTTTTGAAACCATGAGATCAGTGAGCTCCTTAGGCTTAACCCTTTCATATTTCTGAATGCTAGCAAGATAGGCGGTTTCCCTTCCTCTTCTCCAGAGCATCTGTGTGTAGCTGTCTTTGTCGGAGTAGATTAGTCCTTGCTTCTCACTCCTGCGCCTTTGAGGCAGGGAGGAACCCACAGGAGCAGATGCGTGACCCAGACCCTGGGATAAGCTCTGCAAGCAAATGCCAACCCGTAGCCCAGTTCATCCTCGCTGCTTCTGGGACTTCAGGCACACATGCCCCTCTCGTGCTCACGCTGCAGTAAATGCTTGTGGTTTTGTGGTGGTAGCTTGACCATAGTGCCTTTATTTGGAGGGGTGGGGCTTGAAGGAGTCTTGCAGGGGCAGCATTAGGCCAAGGAATGAGTTTTCCCCTTCTCACTTGCATTCCATTGTTCCCCCCAAAATGTCGTCTCTTCCCTCTTATTCTCTGGGGCAGCTTCGTTCGGTTGCCCACTGAATACAGCTAAATCTCTTTGGAAAGACCTTAAATGTTTTTGCATTGTCCTTGTGAATCTGCAACAAACTTTTATGGGCAGGGTGGGAGATCTGCAAGATGGCATCTGAATGAGAGCAGCGTTCCTTCTTTGAAAGAGCAGGCACACACGCAAGTTTCTCTTGAGGAGGCCACCTGCCCGATGAGCTGCCCCCATTTCTGGATGCTGTCCCGTTTACAGTTGTTTGTGTGAATACACCGATCCTTGGAGTCCCATACTGTAGCCTGGTGTTTCGTCTCCCAACTTCACTCCTATAGGGATGGGTGGCAGGAATCCTTCATCCTTGGATGAATTTAGTATGGGGATTGCCAGCTTATTCCTGAGGAATGTGAAATATCACTGAAGGTCCACGTCACAGTTGTTTTGGAGGGGTTTGACTGACACCACTTTCATGCGTCGTGTGTATGACTTTACATTAAAACTGTTTACATCCATGTCGTTCGAAGCTGGCGGTGTGGGCTCAGACCTGCCAGACATTGTCTTGTATGGGTGCGGGAAGCGACAGCAGACGGCCTGAGGGGGGAATTTCACAACTGGCTTCCAAAGTCCCTGACCACTACAACCACCTCCTCCCTTTCCTTGGCTCTTCCTGTGTGTTGCAGGCATAGCAGACCCAGCCACAAAATTAGCAACATTGCTTCTTTTAGTAATCTCTTTGCAAGCACACAGCGGGTGCTGTCACCTTCTGTACCAGAGTGGGCCACGGTGAAGTTGGGATGGAGGATGAGGACAGGGTGACTCCTAACCTCACCACAGGGTACAACTGTCCCAGGGGCTACTGCTGAGCAGTTTGTTGCAGCACTCCTGAGACTTATGGCTGCCACCTTCTTGCAGGCTATTTTGGATGTCCTTTTCAGGGACAGCACCGTTGGTAGAACCAGGGCATGAAATTTTGGGCTATAATGGCACTGCCCCATCAAAAAGTCTCCTCCTGTGTTGCTCATGTCATGCTCCTGCGTGAAGCCCCTGGGCAAGCAGGCCGTGATAGTCCTCACCAGCCTTTCGTGGTTTGGTTGGATGACAATCCTTAGGGAAGATTTGGCCAGTGATATTTGATGCCCCGGGCGCTTCCATGCTTCCAGTGCTGCTCCTTGAGAATTAAATGCCGCAGGAAACCCACCAGTTTCTCTTAAGCTAACGTGGCTGTTCTCCTGGCAACGTTGCTCCCTTTTCTCCCCCTCCAGTATCTCCCTGAACCTTGTTTTTCTTCCATGGCAGAGGTCAAGGGGAATCAGTATACTTAAGGGGCCCCTCTTTCTCCTCCTCCTCCTTCTGCTGCTGCTGTTTTCAGGATTGAGGTGCTAATAATGGGTGGCAATTGTCTTCCCTTTCCCCTGGCGCTTTGGTTCCGTCAGGATCCCACTCAGACATCTCCAAACACTGTCAAGAGTAGAGCAATAAACATCCTCCACTCCTGGTGGGAGAGAGAACGCAGTCTCTGTGAATTCCTTGTCTTTCTCCCCCTCTCTCCATATATGCAGTTGTCTAGTCCAGATTTAACCTTGCTGAGTTTCACTCTAGCACAGCTTACAGTTTAAGCCAAGGGGTATTTTTTACCTGGGCTGCACCTGGCTTCTCCTTTCAACAGAAACACATCTCTGAAGCAAACGCACCTAAGAGACAGGATTGCTCTTCCATTTAAACAGACTTGCACCCCTTCTATCAGAGGTTGTATGTGGAAGGGCAGAAGCACAACGAGGGACTTAAATTCCCGCTCTCCGAAGTAGACCTCTACCATCCACCTTTGGCTTGGGACAGAGGCTGTTGGACCTCCCTCTTGTGACATATGTCACCGTCTGTTGCTTCCCCAGTCTCAGTGTTTCTCAAACTTTGGGTCTCCGGCTGTTGTTGGACTACAAATCCCATCATCCCTGACCACTGGTCCTGCTAGCTTGGGGTGATGAGAGTAGTAGTCCCAACAACAGCCGGAGACCAAAGTTTGAGAAACGCTTTCCTATTTACTTGAGTCCAAGGTACCTAACTGAGGGTGGGTGACCAATTACCCTGGAAGCTGCTTTCTGGGTGCCCAGTGCCATGTGTCCACTCAGCTTGGACCACTTCCTTGGCATGAGTCTTTATCCGGACGTCCCAACGCCAGCAGCAGCTTTCCGCTGACCGGAATGACTGTTGCAGAAAGCTGCCCAGAGCTACTATCTGGGTTGCTTTTCTCCAAGGCGTTTTTAAGTCATGGGACGCCAGTGCTTGATCGGCAAGATGGAAAAGCCACCTCACCCCTCCTTGCTTGGGTGTGTTTCTCTGCTGTAGAGCTTCCCTAGTTGCAAGGAAGCCGAGTCGAAGGAGAAAGCGGGATGCATGCATCAAAGTCACAGCTTCTCGCTCAGGTGGTCACTCTGTGTTTAGCTGTACCGGTTAAGAGTGTAGGTGAGGTCTCATATATAGAAGTCACTTGTTTTCTTAACAAAAAAAAACCACCACATAGGAAACTGGCATCAAGAAGATTTAGCCGCCTCTCTGCTCTACACCAAGTTTTCTGAGCAGAGGGCTGGAGGAGCACCCCATTATGAACCACCACCACCCCAAAACACATCCACACACACTTGCAGTCTGAAATGACACAGCAAAGGTAGCCCACCTTGGTCTGAACTGGCCATAGTCCAGCCTTCCCTCCCCCTGCCTCCAACCTCATCCCTTTCTCTCTCCCCTTTTTTTTCCGTTTGGTCCACTTGCGAGTTTGGCCCACCTTAAGCTTGACTGGACACGGGTCTTCTTAAACCTGGAAAACCTGCACACACAAGGGAAAGGCTTAAACCCAGACTCCAAAACACAGTTTCCAATTTTGCAATTTCTCATTTTTCTTTGCACAGAAGCTGGTAACCTAGGACCTGTGTGCGCGCGTGCGTGTGTGTGAACAACTTTATATGTTGTTGGTTGTTGTTTTTTTTAAGCTATTTGGTTTACTTGGGTTGGTGTGCGACCTTGTATTTAAGTTTCTTGAACACTGTGGAAACCCTGATTGTGTATGAATGGCAGCGGTTTTGTAAATTAAAGAAACGTTTGTGTGAATAAACGTAGAGGATGGGGTTGAAAAGCCATACCCAGTTTTGAGATGAAGTGTCTTTGTCTTTGTGTTCATTATTCCTTTGGCAGCTGTGTTTGGTAGGCGGGGATCCAGCCATGAGCACTGGGGCATGGGGTACCACAACACCCCCCCTTTTTTAAAAAAAACTTGACCACCAGCAGCTGTGGAAGGGCTTGGATTAACTTCTCCTGGTGACAAGCTTCCAGAAGATGAAAAGCTGAACGTGTGATGCAGCAGCAAAAAAAGCTGATGCTATTCTAGACTTCATCAACAGAAGATTAGTATCCAGGTCAAGGGAAGTATTAGGTCCAGTCATGTCCGACTCTGGGGTTGCGGTGGTCATCTCCCTTTACTGGCCGAGGGAGCCGGTGTACAGCTTCCGGGTCGTGTGGCCAGCATGACTAAGCCGCTTCCGGCGAACAGAGCAGCGCACGGAAACACCGTTTCTCTTCCCGCTGGAGTGGTACCTATTTATCTACTTGCACTTTGACGTGCTTTTGAACTGCTAGGTTGGCAGGAGCAGGGACCGAGCAACGGGAGCTCACCCTGTTGCGGGGATTCGAACCACCGACCTTCTGATCATCAAGTCCTAGGCTCTGTGGTTTAACCCACAGCGCTACCCAGGTCCCTTACCTAGGCAGGGAGGTACACACAAATTGTGTTGCTCTGCATATCTCTACAAAGGGTTGGGGTGGAATTTGGTCAATGGGAGGAAGAAAGGGTGGGCATAGGGATTTGGAGAACGGAGAGATCTCAAGAGGCAAGTAAGAGCCATGAAAAGGTGTGGCGAGGGTTTAAGAACAGACTGTCTGATGTAGCAAATGGAACTACAGAACCCACCACTGTTAGCGAGCTAAAAATGGCTTCATGCACTGTGGGAAATGAACCAAGTGAAAGGAGTTACACAGAGTTTCCTTCAGGCCTCCCTCCCTTGTCTAGTCTCCATTGGAAACAGGATGCTGGGTTCTTAGGGCTGATCCAATAATTACATTCTTGTTACGCTAACTTTTAAATAGCAGTGGCAGGTTGCAGCGAGGCTTTGGGGATTGTCTAGCTTTTCCTTTGCGGAAAGAATCAATTAGGCCAGGACTATAACAGGCTGAGTAGCATCTGATCCGAATCGGGGGCATGAACCTCTTGAGGGAAAGGTATAGGGTTGGGGCTCTCCTGCGCTGCTTCAGCAAGTCGCTGCCTGGTTCGTTTTGCCCTTGTACGATGCAGCTTTCACTTGCTGCGTGCCACTGTAAAAGCAAAAACCTCCATCCATCTGAATCTATTTCAAGACAAACCCCTCCCGCTGGCATTTCACAGAATTAGAGAGTTGGAGGGGACTGCCTAGGGTCATCTAGTCCAGCCCCCTGCAATGCAGGAATCCCAACTGAAGCATCCCTGACAGAAGGTCCTGTGTGAGTGCCTGGAGGCGGTTGGAGGATGGATGGCGGCTAACAGATTGAGGTTGAATCCTAACAAGACAGAAGTACTGTTTTTGGGGGACAGGGAGCGGGTTGGTGTGGGGGATTCCCTGGTCCTGAATGGGTTAACTGTGCCCTTGAAGGACCAGGTGCGCAGCCTGGGAGTCATTTTGGACTCACAGCTGTCCATGGAGGCGCAGGTTAACTCTGTGTCCAGGGCAGCTGTCTACCAGCTCCACCTGGTACGCAGGCTAAGACCCTACCTACCCGCGAACTGTCTCGCCAGAGTGGTGCATGCTCTAGTTATCTCACGCTTGGACTACTGCAACGCGCTCTACGTGGGGCTACCTTTGAAGGTGACCCGGAAACTGCAATTAATCCAGAATGCGGCAGCTAGACTGGTGGCTGGGAGTGGCCGCCGGGACCACATAACACTGGTTCTGAGAGATCTGCATTGGCTCCCAGTACGTTTCCGAGCACGATTCAAAGTGTTGGTGCTGACCTTTAAAGCCCTAAACGGCCTTGGTCCTGTATACCTGAAGGAGCGGCTCCACCCCCATCGTTCAGCCCGGACACTGAGATCCAGCGCCGAGGGCCTTCTGGCGGTTCCCTCATTGCGAGAAGTGAGGCTACAGGGAACCAGACAGAGGGCCTTCTCAGTAGTGGCGCCCGCCCTGTGGAACGCCCTCCCATCAGATGTCAAAGAGATAAATAATTACCTGACATTTAGAAGACATCTTAAGGCAGCCCTGTTCAGGGAAGTTTTTAATATGTAACGCTGTACTGTTTTTAACACTGATTGGGAGCCGCCCAGAGTGGCTGGGGAGACTCAGCCAGATGGGCGGGGTATAAATAATAAATTATTATTATTATTATGACAGATGGCCCTCCAACGTCGGCTTAAAAATATCCAAGGAAGGAGAGTTCACCATTTTAGGGGAGCATTGATGCAGACACTCCCAGTTTGCCTTGGTTTGCTCTATCCTGGCCTCTGTTATAAGAGATTTTGACACATTTTACATCTTTTGGGGTGTTGTGAAGAATAACCCCACAAACTTGCAATTGGGAACCCTCTGTTTGCACACCACATTTCAGCTTTCTGTTCTCTTAGCCGTGGCGATAATCTAGAGTGACTTGAAGAGATGCAAGGTGCTGTAGAAAGGTTTAGAAATATCATGTGTTGCTCTGCTGAACTCTTCTCTGTCCCCAACCACCACTGACATTTGGCCATCAGGAGGCTAGCCAGAAGCGAATGTGGCCCTCCAGCTACAGAAGTCCCTCCCCCCACATTGCCCTACACAGACAAGTACTTTCTGATGAGCTGGGGGCAAAAGCATCCCTACCTGGCGCCCTCTCCTAAGGTCCTTTGTCTTCTGCATTTTTGACGTCAAAGTGGTTGGTTGCACAAATACACCCTCCAAGTTCACAGTGAAACCAAATGGCTCTTATCAACTCCCTTGGATATAATCAAAAGCCACATTAGAAAAAAGATAATTGTCCTTTTATGCCTTTAGTAGGAAAAAAAATCAGATACTCCCAGTTTGGCCAGACAGTACCATAGTTCCTCCAGCTGCTTGGCTTCCAGCACTCCACCCTGTCTCGAGTTGACAAGAGGTTAGTATAAACTCCTGCCATAACAACCACTCAATTTTTTTTCTCTCTCTCTTGTATAATTTGGATGCAGTTTTCCTAGTTGCTCACAGCTTAGTTGGCAGAGCAGCTACCCTTAAACATGCCGGGATGGGGTGTGTGTGTGTAAAAAACAAGGTTCCTCGAAACAGCCAGTTTTTTTTAAGGGAGCAGAGCTGTTTTATTTATTTGTTACAAGACACTTGTATACCACCTTTCTTTCTCCACGGATCTCAAGGTGGTATACATGGTTGCCCTCCCCACAACAACCCTTGAGGCAGGTTAGGCTGAGAGATGGTGACTGGCCCAAGGTCACCCAGGGAGCTTCATGGCTAAGTGGGGGTTCAGACCCTGGTCTCTAACACTCTGACCACTGCAACACACTGGCTGTCTTTCAAGGTGTTCCTCAGAGCATCCATCAATTCTTGGCACACTTATTGTTCACTCAAGGGGTAGATGGATTCCAACAAGAAATTAAAGACCACCCAGAAATTAAAGCTTCCCTCCTGCTTCCTGGAGGGTGCCAACCAGCCCGGGCGACTTCAGGTCAGACCTGCCGGTCTGGCAACCCAGGAAAGTAACACGAGTCACAACACTTTCATGCGTCAGTAATGTTCACCGATACGCAAGCGCATCACAGCAATCTGCATGCTGCACAAGGGACTCATCCAAGCTGCAGCTCCCATTGCGTGGCAGAGCTGCGCTTGCTTCCACATCGCGTGTGAACCAGCCCTGCACGATCAGGGTCTCAAGATGTGCAGAGGGGCAGGCCATGGTGCTTCCCGGAGGGGCCTGCGCCACGCAAATCGGCGTTCGGAGTGGCGAACGGCAGCAGCTCAGGAGAGCGCTGCGTGACGCAGACTTCCAGGGAGTTACATAACTGGCAGCACAGCTGGCAGCTCAAGCCGCCTTACGTAATCGGCCCAAGCCGCACATCCCTGGGAACGTGGCCGGTTTGTTTTGGCCGTGCTTTGTGGGCGGGCCTTGGTCTCCCATCCCACCCCAGCCGGGCGCTGGAATCGACCAAACACGCCGAAGGCAGCAGCCTCCAGCTCCCACGGACAGACCTCGTCAGCATTGTGTCCCTTAATGGTTTCTGACAAGGACCTGAAATGGATTGATTCGGCCCGACTCGGTTTGAATGCCGCCTGTCAATCCCAGCAGGCTGCCCAGCGAGACAAGGCCCTGGCGTGGCTCCAAGCCTGGGCCACAGGAGATTTCGCTCGCCTCCCCAGGGCCTCTGATTTCCACCAAGTCGAGCTGGCTGGGGGCTGGGATCATTCAGTGCCTTGGAAAACTGCTGTTTACCTGCTCCACTCAACTTTTATCACAAGGGGAGTCTGCTGAATCCAGCCAATGGCCCGTCTAGTCCAGCACCCTGTTCTCACAGGGTCCAACCATATACGATACAATACTCTTTATTGTCATTGTCCCATACAGAACAACAAAATTGAAAAAATCTACATAAGACATTAAAAAACCAACAAGCCTGCTATCCCAGCTATCCCAACCTGGTTAGCCACCTAAAAACTCTTGATACCCCATTTTTAAATACAATATACTCCCATAGAGACTCCTTAAAGGTAAAGGGACCCCTGACCATTAGGTCCAGTGGTGGCCGACTCTGGGGTTGTGGCGCTCATCTCACTTTACTGGCCGAGGGAGCCAGCGTACAGCTTCCGGGTCATGTGGCCAGCATGACTAAGCCGCTTCTGGCGAACTAGAGCAGCGCATGGAAACATTGTTTACCTTCCCGTCGGAGCGGTACCTATTTATCTACTTGCACTAACTGCTAGGTTGGCAGGAGCAGGGACCGAGCAACAGGAGCTCACCCCGTCGCGGGGATTCGAACCGCCGACCTTCCGATCGGCAAGTCCTAGGCTCTGTGGTTTAACCCACAGCGCACCCGGGTCCCTAGAGACTCCTTACACTACGTTTAAAACCAAAATCGCATTTGGGTAGAAACTGTTTCTCAGGCGGCTAGTCCTAGT